AGCTAACTGTGAAAAGTGCAGGTTTGTTCCCTCTCCTTAAAAGCACTTATTTTTCATGGGCAGTTTGTAGTAAATCTCCAAAAATCCTCCATGAAACTGACTTCAGGCTGCACCTCTGCAAGTGTCAGGAGGAAATCTGAAGCAGAGGATAGCAGCCCTCCCAAACAGAAAATGTTATGAATGGACTGATAAAGATCTACACAGAAACATCAGTGCTGGCTCATCTGCAGGTGGACAGCAACAGATCAAAGACTTTTATCTTAAATACACACTTAGAAAGGGAAGGAAACATTGCAATGACCGTTTCATTTTTTCCTTTACAAACTGACTGGAAAAAGTGCAGAGTATTGTACAGGTCACTGCCTGCTTGTTTTCACTACCACATTTCTACTGCACAGAGAGCAGAATGACAAAATTCCCATGCTCAGCTACGGAGATGTCTTTCAGCTGGAAAGGGCAGTTCAGGGGCAGCTGAATCAACCTTCACACAAAGCCACTGACCTCAGAGAACAGGGCTGCTACTACTACAGCAGCAGGTGAAACAGAACTGTTCCCATTTTTACGGCCTAACGCAGGGAATGCCATCCTCCCTCCCGGCATCTACAGACCATAGTTTCATTGGCTGTTTATTTAATCATGACTAATCCTGGACTCAAGCCATAGCCGTTTGGGTACATGAGATGGAAAGCTGAAGCACATACTGTGAGAAAAAGGAAAGCATAATTTGAAAAGTAGATGCTTTTACTCCTCCGTCTGATGCAAACCAGATTATTGAAGTGCTAACTAAATGGAAATATTTACTTACACAAAAAGCAAACTATTTAAGCTTACTGCTATTTATCAAAGTATAAAGATGTGCCCTTCCTCTCTTCTCCTCTCCTTGGATTTATTCTTGCTGGCAGGAAAAAAAAAAAGTCACAGGAAAGCTAAACTTTTAAAAAACTGAATAAACCTATCATAAAAGCTTTACTAGTGAAGTCTTTCAACAGAATTAGAGAGATCTGGGTATCTGCACCACAGATTTACACCATACAAGCAACATGTACTTTATCCTGAAAGATGACTGGATTTCTACTAGTTACCAAGACATCAAACCTTTGTAGCTGTAAAATACCAGTCTTAATACTGAACTCATGTTGCAATTTGTGCTTTGTGTTAAGTAATTGATTTCCTATAAAGCTAAAGGTGAAAGGTTTGACAGCCCACCAAACTTCAGAGTTTAGGATTAAATTGTTGCAAGTAGTTTGGAAAGAGTTATCTAAGGCAGGGAAGTACTAGGACTCGGCTCTTCCTGTAAGTTGGTCAGCCTTTATTTTTAGTTTTCAATTGTCAATATTTTTTTTCCCTTTTGTAAAGGAAGTGTAAAGAACTGCCAGTACTTGAAGCTAAATTACTTTATTTACAGGTCCAGTATGAATACAAACAGGACTGATGATGCTATGCAGCATTCAGACTAGTTCAGCTCTTTCAGCTGGCATGAACTTTAAGAAATAGAATAAATGCTAATGCCAGATTTAGTCACTGAAGTTGCCACAGGTTTCTTGATCTCGTATTACCTGAAAAACTGCCCGAGAACCTTGGGGAAGGTACAATCCATTTTTCCAGACTAAACTTCTAATGCTACTTCCAGATCAACTCTTTGCGGAGTCACTTCATAGTATATAACAGCACTCCCTGTGAAAATAGCAACTAAATGCTTCCTTTACCAAAGTGCATAGGAACAGAGAAGGGGATTAATTTGGCCCTGCTAAATTAGAAAAGCCACCTCATTTCACCTGAACACCACAAAGACTGCAACACAAATCCTACCCATGCAAACAAAATCAAATCATAGATTAAACCTATCACCTGTGTTTAATGAACAACAGGCTATAGCAAATGTACTAATACCATGCTTGATCCCTATCCTGAACTACTGCTTGCAGAAAAAAACCTAAGAAAACTTGTATTTTGAAACTGTTAAATAAAGGAGAAGGAAAGGTGGTTAGACCAAACCCAAAACCTAGTATTTAAACAGGAAATATTCCTTGGCTGTATTTAATGCTTTCACTAAAGCTACAGTGTACACAAAGTCAATGCTTCACGAAGGGGAACACCAGGGCAGAAGGCTCTAACAGACTCATCTCTGGTAGATGATGCCAAAAGCTAAGAGTGCTTAGAATCTTCTTATGTGTAATCGAGGTGACATCTGTTCTGCCAAACTCTGTGTAAGCATGGGACTACCTCGAGTAGACCTGAAACTTGCCTTTAAAATACCAAGTCCTGCTATGCAGCACTGCTAGTGTATCTGTACAGGTCACCCAGGCACCTCCAGACAGCAACACCCAGTGCTTAGACCATACTGACCTCTTGGCTACAGCAGCTGAACTGTAGCAGATCTGAAGAAGCAGTGAGCCCGTTTCAACAGAATTTCCTGCCTGCCTGCAAAAGATCTCTACAGATTTTTTTGATACATGGTTAATCTACCCATTAAAGAACTATTGCCTTTAAGGCTTATCTTTCAAGACTGATGATGCATACTCTGGAAGAAAGGCACATATGCCTGCACTAAAATTCTGCTGTCTGTAAACCTGAAAAAGTTTAATTGTGATTGAATCGTGTTATTGTGAGCCTATTAAATTACAGTTTCTGTTGTAAACAATCAACCTTTTCCCCTCTCAAGTCGTTAAGTGAAAGCCCCTGTAATGTTTTAAACAGTTTCAGCTAACTCTTCAAACTTGGCAGAGGGAATGCAACAATACTTCCTGCCTTTTAACATTATTTATTATTAGTTAAGGAAAATAAAGGTATATATAAGCATAAAGCCAGCAGTATCAAGAACAGATTCACACCCAGAGTGAAATGAAAATGGAAGCGGAAGCTGAGATGACTGGGTAATGGAGCATGAACCAACAGGTAAGCATGGACTAAGGGGAAGAGGAACAGCCACTACCACCAACTAGCACAGAGAAGCCTTTAATTACCAGCTGATCATTAAGAAGGTTTGTGAAAGTCTTTCAAGGTTGTAAAGTTAAATTTGCAGAAAGCAAACACCTGCTGGACCCAGACAGTGACCAACTCTGAGATACTTTTCAGCTCAATTCCTTATTTGGATTCCTATTTAAGATCACATTGAACCAAGAACAACAAATAGGCCTGTCAGCCTCTTACATTAGTAGTCTTTTGCCTATCAAATTGATTTTCCTCACCTCAGCACTGCAAAATTCAGTTTGTCTTTGCTGCCCAGGAATGCAGGACAGCAGGAACATGGAATGTTAGTGCACAGACCATAAACATACTGCACAAGAGTGTTGTTCTGAGGGCCACTAAATTCTACGAAGTTTTTTTATCATGTCCTTTATTTTCAGCAGTTGTCTATGTTGTTCAGGTGACTCATTCTGTATTTTTATTACAAGCATTCAAGATGTAGGCAAGATGAAGCACACAAATGCCTGTCAAATCCCTAGCCTGATCCTGTAAGTTGGCATTTCTGCACTATCTTTCTGTTATATGTGTTAATTCTTACTAAAAATAAAAACCTAAACCGCATGACAGCAGAACAATACCCAAGCAATAGTCACATCAAAGTTTCCCCACTTGCGGTTTCCTCAAACATCACACAGAAGACCGCCATCTACTGTTGACATCACTAAGCCTGTTAGTACACACATATTTTGCATGGTAACAGGCAATACTATTTTACATCACTACTGAAAGAGTGAAGACCTACCACGCCTAAGTTCTATGAAATCAATCTGAAGAATAAAATCACTAATAAACTACTGCCACAGCCTGAAGTAATGGGTCTACAAGAGATGAATTCCCCTCAATCCCAGCATACCATGGGATGTATTCCTTAATGGTTATATAATCTGTCATTCTTGCCAGACCTGTTTAATTATTTCTGCTTAAAAATTGGTCACTGTGCTTGAGGTAATGTTCTGTTTTGTTTCTCCTTACAGCTGCAACTACCTTCTATTTTCTCTCCCTTGAATACCCCTCTGTTATGCTCCTTATGGCAAAAAAAATGTCAGTGTAGGCAGGCTACAGAGGGATTGGAAACCAGACATAGAATATGCCTTGTCCTTAGAGAAGTGAACAACACAAGAGGCCTAGAATAGCACATCCCCTACAGACTGAGACGTTTGTTTTGTAGTGGAGCCAGCAGACTGCAACAAATAGAATGAAACGAGTGCAGTTCTCTCCCATCATTTGCCTGCTGCCTTCTAGCTACGACGCAGGGAGCATTAGTGCAACTGAAAGAGTATTACTGACAACGTATTCACTGCTGGCTGCACTGCCCATGGCAGCCAGAGGCAATAGTTCTAAAGAAAGGAGTACTTATCGCACTGACATGTGTGAGGAAAAGAGACTAGATGCAGGCACTAGTTTTCCGTTTTACTCAGTCAGTGAAGCCACGTCAGAACCCACATGGATATGCAATATTGACGTATTGGAGGCTTATTAAAAATATAGAGGATCACTGGGATCTGAAATAGAGCTGAGAGGTATTACTAGGCTACCTCATTCCTCTGTGAGGTATTTAGATCCTAGTATGGTGCCTGTTACCAATTTCACACAGAGAAGATTCTATATAGCACTGTAGTTACATCTGGTTGCAATTAAAATGGAACTGAACAGATCACTGTGATGAATTCTGCAAGAAGGAAGTAAATCTCCTTTAAAAAAAAAAATGGAAGTGCATTAAACGCACCACAAATTCACTCTAGGCAACTCAGATCACTTGTGACTAAGCAACAAGCCTCTTCTCTTTGGAAAATGCCTCAGTAAGTCACACTATAATCAAAAGATAAAACAAAAACCTTAAATTCATAAACCATATGATCTAAACCAACATCCTCAGGTTAGGTTGTGGCTGGGTTCTTTTATTCTGCTGTCATCTATGAACTCAAGCCCTGCCATTCCTGCCGGTTCAAAGGTGTGGGGGAGAAGAAAAACACTACACACACTCTTGCCATCTGTAAAACCTGAATAGTTTATTCAGATAAACCTTAAGAACTCTCTCAAACATCACAGTATATCAGTGTACAATTAATGACAACTTCAGAAATCATGCTTTTGGTGCAAAGCATAAATTTAATGCTAAGTGCAACAAGATGGTTTTTCATTACTTCAAAGCAGCATGATTGACAAAACCCTTATAAATAAGTATTATCAGGATTAAGAACTGCATTTAATTTATATTTATTTTTGAAAAAACTCTGGATTGCTAGGAAACAATCTCTGACAATTGTCATAATTAAAAACACTGCTGACTGAAGTAACAGAATTCAGCAGTGTATTTTTAAGAGAACTGTGCGTCTTGAGGTTCTGCGGAAGAATTAGTATCTTCCACAGAAGAAGTGCATGGCGATATCACAGCACACAAAATTGGTGACTTGGTTTCAGTCTCTGTTTTCCTGGTAACAATATTTACTGTTTTAAAATTTAGCTTTAAAACAGGTATCCACTATTAGTTTTCAGAGATCTCATTACAGGATATTAACCTTCTGGGGAGAGGGCCATATTTTCCTCAGGATTCATGCTTTTTTGTTGGTTTATCAAAGTAAGGAGTGTTGTCTTGTAGCAGATCTTTCCTGGGTATGAGCACTGTAACAGAAAAAAACTGTAAGAATATAATCTTATGGAAAATACTATTTAAAATTCTAAAGTTGTTTTTACATTTACAAACAAAAAATCAGGTTACTAAAATGAGAATCTGAGCTTCTAGTAAGCATACGAGCAGCATCATGGTATCTACCCAAGACAAAATTATATTAAGATTTTTACCTTCTGTTGGTCAGAATATTGCCTTCCCCTTTTTCCTTTTAAAAGCACTGAAAATACTTTAATAGTATTAAGAATCCATAAAAGGTGGTACAGTGTTATAGTAATTTTTAGCAACAGAGATAATGGCAATTTTATCATGCCCAAGTCAGATTAGGTTTACTCCAACACTTCCATAAACGAATACTAAGTTTGACTTAGCCCTCTCCCCCAACATGCTGTAATATTCATCTTGTCACACCTGTTTTAAAGCACAACAGGAAAAGAAAGGACCAAATAAAAACTGCAGCCACTATATCATCACAGAAATGCAGAAATGGAGTGTATAATTACACAAACATTTTAACCTCTTCCTGATTCTAAGTTCTTGCCGTCTAGCTCTTCAGAAATCAGTTTTTCCTTTTTTTATGAAGGGAAGGAGCTGTGTCATGTTGGATTTGCTCTAGTAGCAAAAACTAAAGCACAAACATCTAAAATCATTATGCTGTACTTTGACTAGGTCACACAGCTGTGAAAGGTACAGTAAAACTTTAAAAACTGTGTGTGTTTGTGCACATGTGTGTGCAATGAGTAACTGTCTGAAGTGCACTGATATCCTGTATCTTATAAGAAAGAAAACCAACTTCCTTGAAGGTATCTTCCTTTTGCATCTGTGTACTGATACTGATGCATTTTAGTAAGTTTCTAAGAGCTGTAAGTAAAATTGCAATTGCATTTCTGAGATAAAATACTTCTGAGTAAATTTACGGCAACACATCTTGATCTACACACCTAGAATAGGTACATGAAGAGAAATACCAAAGAAAAACAGAACTGGATATAAAGTATTGAAAAACAGAAGTCCAAAGAAATAAAGATTGAAAGAAGAATTTTTAACCTGCCTTTTCAAAGCTAAGTTTTGAACATACACTGCCAACACACCAATCAAAATCATCAGAACATACTGCATGTGTGGTATATTACTAAAATGTAAACTCTACTTGTATCAGCTTAATCTGAAATTAGAGTGAAATGAATAGAACTGAGATCTTTGTATACTACTGAGTAATGTAGAAAAATTGTCTAATATGACTAACAAGCTGCTAATTGAAATTGTCTTCTCTTTAGTAAGAAAACCTCAGCTTAATTTTTTTCTCTTTTTTTTAAAGATTTACCAGTGAATCCCAACATGACTATGAGTCTCAAATTCTTTTTGAAGAATAACATTGCTCTGTGCACTGCTTCTATGACAGCACATAATAATTTCATTTGATTAGGGAAAACGCTCCCCTTACCAATATTTGTTCTCACTGTCTAAGACAAGTCTTTGGCTTTTTCTTTTCAGTTATTAAATAGTTATTTTAGAGATGTAGGATTGCCACAAAGAAAAAAAAAAAGAAAAACACCAGGTGTAGCTAAATTGCATATTGTCAGCCTCAAGATTCTGACAGTAACTTACTTAAGGAAACCAGCTGCAGCAATAGTTTCTGAAACATTTTACCTAGTTCCTTTTTTCCCCACTGTTCTTTCATACAACATAGCTACTGACCACTTAAAATATTTTTTTTTGCCGGGCGGGGTGGGGTGGGGAGGTAGCTCAGGTTGAAGCAAAGACATAATACTAATTTAATTACAGCCCAAATCTAAGCATTCTACAACGTTTTCTTTTTTCCCAAATAGGCAAAGTAAACCTTCACCTACAAAGTTTCCAAAACAAACATGTAGCACCTAGGATGAAACACTATGAAAAGCAAACTTTTCAACTGAGGTCACTTATTTTTATTTGCCAACAAACAGCAACTCAAGCAGCCACCTTAGGGATGCACTTGCACTTTTTTTTTTTTGTTAATAAATCTGTCCCAAGCCTCTCATTTAATACAAGATGATGCCATAAAAGCAGTAAGGGAGCTAACTGTAACTCTATTGGCACTATAAAAGTTACCAAAGGGCATAAAAATTAAGGATCAAAAAGGTTGTTCTGCTAAAACTTCCTTCATCAAAGCTGTACTGGAATTGAATACCCATTCAATGTACTACCTAAGCAGACTCATATACCTACATAAGCATTTCCTACAAAAAACTTCCTGCCAGACTGGCACCTAGGTGCCAAAAAGCCAAGGAAAGTGATCGACTTGGTATTTTCATCATATCCATGCACAAGATGTTCAGAGGGGATGCAGCTGGGACAGCTGACCCCAACTGACCAAAGGGATATTCCAGACCATATGGCGTCATGCTCAGCATATAAAGCTGTGGGAAGAAGAAAGGAGGGGACACACTTGCAGTGATGGTGTTTGCCTTGCCAAGTAACGGTTATGCATGATGGAGCCCTGCTTTCCCAGGCATGGCTCTAAACACCTGCCTGCCGATGGGAAGTACTGAATGAATTCCTTACTTTGCTTTGCTTGCACACATGGCTTTTGCTTTACTGATTAAACTGCTTTTATCTCAATCCATGAGTTTTCTTACTTTTACCCTTCTGATTTGCTCCCCCATCCCACTGTGGGGGGAGCGAGCGAGCAGGCGGCTGCATGGGGCTTAGTTGCCAGCTGGGGTTAAGCCACAACAACACCTAGCCATAGATTCAACCGGAACTTGAAGTCCCACTTCCAACTTTTTTCCTCTTTTTAATCTCAGATAATTTTTCTTTACAAGCAAGAAAGGATGGAAACAGTAGGGTGAGATATTCAACAAAATGGAGCAGCAGTGGAACCCATACCCATTTATAAGTACAATTTCACACACTGCACTGACCATGTTATTCAGCATAAACTACTATCAAAATATGGTGACAATTATCTCAACTCCCTGAAAATTCTGGATTTCTGTTTCAGAAATTTTCTCATGGCACACTCTGGGCTACCAGTGATATTAGTAATATAAGAGCCACACCAGAATTGCCTAGTTCAGAGTGCTATCTGACTAATCAAAGCTGGATTCTTAGGAAAGATGCAAACACTCCAGAAGCCTGCTCAAAGAATGGCACTTAGGAATAACATTCTATTACTGATCAATATACCATGGTATAAAGGTCTGTATATTCCTTCTGTAAGGAGATTTGCTTTTACTCTTTCACTACAGTATCAAGCTAAGCATCAAGTCTATCTACTGCTTTTTTGTATTTTGAGTAATACCTTGCTCTTGGCCACAAAGATTTTTCATTGCCATGACCTTTAAGAATTATTTATTGTGTAAAATAAAAATGCATTTTTTTGTTATTACCTCTGAATATAAATTCCAACTTCACTGAATGCTCTTTACATTTTAATTATACCAGGACAAGTAAGAGTATCTATCTACACATTTTTCCTACTGTTCAGTCTTATTCTCTGAACTTCCATCACGATGCTCTGGATTTCTCTTCTAAGCATTGCTGATCTTTTAACTGGTGATTCACTACATTATCAAGATTAAATAATTCTCACTTCAATACTTATTCCAAACAGACAGCTCTCAAACTCTGATGGCTCTTTCAAGAATATTGTTTTGTTCTTACTGCAGTAAGATCAATTAGAGTGAGAAGCAAAGCTTAGACCCATCCAAAACAGATAAGAGGGGAAAAAAAAGAAAAGGGGGGGGGGAGAAGACACTGCATAATGACACCCTTGGCATTCATAAGCAGGTCACATGCACCCTGCACAGAGATGCACTCCAGATTTTCTGCTGCAGGACAGTTTTCCTGGCCAGTACTAGACTCTGGAAGACCTCCTTCTTGTACACAAACCTCATTGGCACCATATCTCTAAGAAGTCTATAAAATTAGGTGGGGGCAATTCTATCACTTTTTGTTTATAGAGATTTTAAATGAGACAGCATTAAAGCTCTCCTACAGTCAAAATGGACAATCATCACTACTCTCCCCTTGTCCGCTGAGTCAAGTAATTTCACTGTAAAAGGGTAATCAGATTGGTCAGAGAAGATCTCCCCTTTGTAAATCCTTGCTCACTACTCCCAGTCCCCATTCTGTTCTTTGAACATTTGGAAATGGCTTCCAGGATTGGCTCGACCACCTTCCCAGGGCCCAAGGAGAGGCTTACCAGTTTCCCGGATACTCCCTCTTGCCCTTTTTGAAAAAAGGAGTGACATTTGGTTTCTTTCAGTCCTCAGGCAACTCCCCTAATCAGCATGACCTTTCAAAGATGATTGAGAGTGGCCTCGCAATGACATCAGTCAGCTCCTTCACCACCCATGGGTGCATCACATCAGGTCCCATGGAGTCGTGTACGCCCCATCTGTTCAAATGTTCCCTAGCCTTTTCCTTCTCTACCAAAATTAAGTCATCCTCACTCCAGATATTCCCAATAGTCTGAGGCTCGCAAGCCCTGAAGGCAAACCTTAGCAGTAAAGACTGAGGTGAAGAACGTACCCAGAACCTCAGTCTCTTCTATGTTCTTTGTTACCAGGTCTCCCTGCCTTATTCGGCTGTGGGCCCATATTTTCCCTCATCTTCCTTTGCTGCTGATATACCTCCAGAAGCTGTTCTTACTGTCCTTCACATTCCTTGCCAAGATCAACTCCAGGTGGACCCTGGCTGTCCTAACCCTGCCCCTACACACTCACACAGTATTAGAATATAAATTTGTATTTGAACATGAATTCATGTGGCTTTTGCAAGGGAAATTCTGCCTTACAGTCACTGGTGGAGTTCTCTAAACAGCTCGTGGGGGGCTGCCACAACATGCTTGGATTCCCAGAATTCCCTCAACAAATGCTTTTAAGAAAAAACCAGCCTTATTCTGACAGAAGATCTTGCATGGATAAGTCACTGGTTAAACTGTAGGAAGTGAACAATATATGAACAGGTCTCCCAATGAAGGGATGTCAAAAGTGGAGTTCTACAGGTATTTTTGTTGGCATCTGTGCTGTTCAACATATTTGTAAGTAACCTGAAAAAGAATGGTGGTTAATGATGGCATCCTGAGTCAGTTCTTTAAAAAAATGTCTTACTGCAACGAACTGCAGGACAAGCTTAAGACTTGACTGAGTAACCAGTAAAATAACAGACCAAATCACATGTAGAGACATGCAATGCACACGGGTCAAAAAAAAAAAAAATTAACTTTACAAAGGAAGTGATAGGTTCAAAACTGACTACGGTCATTCAGATGAGTTTAATGAATACAAGATAATTTTGTAAAAATAAATAAATATATGTACGCACAGTAGCCAAAAATTAAATTTAGAATTAGGAATGCCTAGGAAACCAGTTGAGTTCCGATGGAGGGAGTGAGCTCTTAGTCATCTTGAGAGATATAGCACAATTGAAAAACGTGCAGCGAATAGCAACAGAATGATCACAGGCATTCACTCATTGTTTCACAGTGGGGGTCGGGAGAAGGGGGGTGCAAAAAGGGACTTAAAAACTCATGAACAGCTTGGTGAAAATGGCTAGTAATTGGAGAGTAGGACCAGATTCAAAACTACAGCAAGTGATTCTTCATAAAAAACAGAGTAAATTCTTTGTCAAAGGTTCCCAGTTGCAAGAAATTCGCACAGGTTCACAGGAACAAGTTCATGAGAGAGAAACCCACTGAAGACAACTAAAACAGAAACCAGTCCTGGCTCAGGAAGTGCTACCAGGTGTAAACAGCTGGAAGATGTGAAAGTTCACTTCACTGTTCCTACACTTCTACTATGATCTGCCTAGGATCATTGTGGAAGACTTGACACTGGTCTAAACATATCTTTGGCCTCGATAATGGCTGTTCTAAAGCTAAATGCTTTACCAAATCTAAAACTGCAAATAGTTACAAAGCTTTACAGACACCACTAAACAGAAGTGAAAGGAACAATGTACAAAACTGAAAATTTCTCCTGTCCTCCACCACAGAGTTGTATGCTGAACCTACTACTTCCTTGTGTTTGACTGTAAGAGAAAAGAACTTCTAAACCAGGAACCAAAATTTCAGAATTTGATAGGCTTTGCATCAAGGCCATCATTGCGTCACAATCTTCCAAGGCATAACCTGAAAACTTAAAATTGTCAGAACAACGTTTTGGAAAAGAACACTCAATCCTCAAAGAAAAAGCTATTCTACAGACAGCATACATACTGCATTTGCTATTTCTCCTCAGGCAGCTTCTACTTATTTGGTAGAGCAAGCACCTACAGATACTGTGGCTACTACAGTTAGACATACACTGACTGACTAGCCAGTACACGCATGCTGACTTGCTACCTAATTACTGTCACTCCTAATAGTTAAGGTACCAAGTTATAACTTCCTCCTCTCGATGAGGTTATAAGTTCTTTCTCTCAATAATGGCATTAAATGCAGGCATTGCCTCTTTTCTAGCAGCCTCTTTGTTTCAAAATATTTGTATAGAAACTTTGTACCTTTGAAACCTCCACCCGTCCCTAGGTAGTGACATTAGTCAACAGGCTTAAATTAAGGGTTTGTGTCCTGGTTTCAGCTGGAATAGAGTTAACTGTCTTCCTAGTAGCTGGTACAGTGCTATGTTTTGAGTTCAGTATGTGAAGAACGTTGATAACACTGATGTTTTCAGTTGTTGCTCAGTAGTGTTTAGACTATAGTCAAGGATTTTTCAGCTTCTCATGCCCAGCCAGGGCACCTGACCCAAACTGGCCAACAGTGTATTCCATACCATGTGACATCCCATCTAGTTTAGGAACTGGGAAGGGGGGGGCAGGGATTCGCCGCTCAGGGACTGGCTGGGTGTCGGTCGGCGGGTGGTGAGCAATTGCCCGGCGCATCATTTGTACATTTCAATCCTTTTATTACTACTGTTATCATTTTATTAGTGCTATCATTATCATTATTAGTTTCTTCTTTTCTGTTCTATTAAACCGTTCTTATCTCAACCCAGGAGTTTTACTTCTTTTCCTGATTTTCTCCCCCATCCCACTGGATGGGGGGGGGAGTGAGTGAGCGGCTGCGTGGTGCTTAGTTGCTGGCTGGGGTTAAACCACGACAGTTTGGTCAGAGAAATGACAGATAGGCTTTCGCTCTCTCTATTCCTTTACTTATTTTTCAAGTTTTATATTTATTTACTGAACTACAACATTTTTAAACATCTTTTTTAGCATGCAGTTTTACTCACATATTTTGTCGGAATCTGTGTGAACTGCCTGAATAACAGAAGTTCTGAGAATCACTTCAACATCTGAAGCTATTTTCAGAAGCTAGGAAAAAGAAAACAAACAAACAAACAAACAACACAACAGAGTAATTTAAATTATATGTAATTATTCCTGAAGGTATTTTCCATACTAGACAGCTATTCAAATAATAAAGCCAGTCAGTTCTATTATTCAGTTAGTTATGCACTACCTATACATAGCTTTTACTTTGGGGATCCTGGAATAACTTACAGGTTGATATGTAGGCTACTTAGACATACAGCACAAGAGGAAGGAAACTTCTGCTCAGTAACATGCAGCAGTATAAAATCTATATACCCAATTAAAACTGCAAGCGAATAAGGTAGAATGCAACTACCAAAACAAGTAACTAGTTTCCAACGACTGAAGACATTGGTGAATGCCTCAATAACTTTTGACTACTCCTAGTGAAAGGGCATCTGGTTCTTTCAACATTCCCGCTCTTGAAATAAGAAGACAAAAATAAGGGTAAAACACAACAAGAATACTGAGGTTTCACAGAAAAATAGTACAGGAACAAGACACTACCTAAAGATTAGCAGACGCATTAGTATTTAGCAAAAGGCCTAGAATTCCTTCTCTCATTAAAAGGGTAAGCAGAAGCACCCTTGCTACTTTTGCTGAGCAATTAAGAGAAGCCTAATACTTGTCTGCATGATAGCTGCGTCAGAAATAAGTGAAATTGCACAAGTGAGACACTTCAGGAGACATGCTTATGCTAGGAAGTAGTGTGTACCAACAGAAGTGGATCTTTGCAAGAGTTAGAGCTCAAAACTTGACATCTACACTGAATTTCTCCCTCCCGCCCCTCCTTCCCTTTCAAGGGTTTGCACTAAGTATCCTCCAGTTCTCCCTGCTGAATGCCCATTAGCAGCTAGGCTGCATGCTCCTGAAGCATACCTTCCACTTCTGATTCATCTTAAAGGAATTCTGCCATTTGCTCTGAGACTGCTTCACAAAACAAGCCAAATCACAGGAAGTGGAGGTAACCAAGGTAACTTCAGAAGTGCACTCCTGATCTCAACTTAAATTCTGCAGTAGATACAGCTACCAGATCCCACATTCTAATACTGCAGATAGTTACTTCTACCTCCTTAGGTCACTACAGAACTAAGTACCTGATGTTGTATTAGAAGACATTGCAGCTTCCTATTCTTGCAAAGTAATGCATATTTGGTTAGTCAGTATTCAATTTTTTTAGCTGCTGTCTAAAGCAGAACACTAACACCCCTGTGTTTATGCAAGCAAGTGCCCAAATTTTCTCAAGTCCTGTGTATCATTTGATTCAGTTCCTCTGCATCCAAGTCTATTCAGAATATATACATACATATATATATGTACACCTATGTATACATAATAAATATGACAGCTGCTATCATGTTCTAGGATTCTGTAGTTGTGATGAAACTCTGGAATTTCTTCCACTGACACATTTAATCAAGATATCAATTAACCCATATTAAAAAGTTACATATGTGTATTTTGTAGGTTGCTATTCCTAACAAATAAAGATTTTAAAATTACAGCAAGTATTCTTCCTGTACTTCCATAACAAAAAGAACATACAATTTAACAGATCAGAAACCAGGAACACAAACACAGAAGTATTACTGTAGGGGCCTGATAACAAGCAGAAATCCTAGGAAGTCCTAACTAAATGCTCAGAACTACTTATGTTACTGTCTATTGGCTGGTATGATGCAAAGGTTTAGATTTACTTCTGCAAAGGACAGATGCAGGAGGCGCTTTCTTCCAACTAGTGCCCAATGACAATGTAAATAGAGTCTGTTAAAAGGCTGAATGACAAGGACTAAATTATTCAATCTGTATGGGTGTTAAGAACTATAAAATATCTAAAATATGCAAGTTTCATTTCAGGCCTCACTAAGTTTTAGAAATATGACTCAAAAAGTGTTTAGGTAACAAATGAGCAAGTTACGTAGTGAGTTAAGAGAACGTTCTACTCTTTTTAATGCACCACGAGGGAAGAAGCAGCAAAAAACCCCAGTAGTATAATTAGTACCTCTGTATTGCAATAGTCATGATCATTTGGCTGGTTTTTGCCTCCTGCAAAAGATGCTAACTCATTTGTGATCAGGAATCAAAATAACTTCTCATGTCTGCCAGTAACTGAGCAGACTATGTAATTTCTCTGTATCTTTCTGTGCTTGTCTATACAACAAAGACCAGGTAAACTTAAGTGACCACAGCTCAGCTAGATGTTATGAGCAAAGTATACAAAACATTTACATGAAAATAGCAACATAAAACACCTTTTCCCATAATTTTATTATAAGCTTCAAAATAAGCATATTGATCTACCAAAAGACACTTTCTCCTTATGTATTTTTGTATGTGCAAAATTCTGTAACATACTATTAATACCAATAGAGGTTATCAATACATTTATAATAAAGATCCATGTAAAAGCCTTTCTGAACTCACCTGGCTCTCAGAGTTTCTCGGTAAGTACTTACATTGGTTTAGAGATCCTTTAAGTAAAAAGCTCCTATGTAAGTATTCTTATGCAAAGTGGAAAAAACCAATGAAAACAGGAAGCACCTCATTTATCTTCTCTTCAGATGTCTCATCTTGGTTATTTTTGAATTCTTCATTTATCTTTTGTCTTGCAGCTAAATAAAGTAAACAAAAAAACTAAAGTGTGAACAAAAAATTTACGTTGTCTTTGTCACTGCCTCAAGGCTCAGAATCCTAAGTCCTTTATAGCACCTTCCTGGTGCACTCTGCCTGAAGTATTTTAATGTAGTATTTCCATGGAATTCAGGTGATGTCATGTTTTAAGTTGACTGGCATGGAAATAAAATATGATTGCCCATCTAGCATTTGAGGTTTAAAAATAACTAACATACAGAAGCCACCACTAAAGCTGGTTTACTAAAAAAGCAGTATTTATCCTGAGGAGCAACCGTACATAAAGAGAAACAACACAAATCCTTAGTATAGTTAAACATGCTTTGGCTGGACTGAAGAGAGGAAGGGGGGGGGGGGGGGGCAAAAAAAAAAACCCCAGGAAAAACACCAAGGTTCAAAAAAAAGAGATGTTTTCCTTATGAAATATGGCTTGAGTGCTCGAGTCTAACAACCAGGTTTTCTGTTTCAAATTAAAGGACATCTGGTTATGGACACACAAGTTTTCCCAGTGATTACTTATAAAATGTGGAAGGGAATAATTTAAAGGAAGATTCTATTAAGAATTCTCTTTCTATGTATTCAGAGAAGAAAGTTCCACAGAAAGATAGGTAAGCATGCAACACAGAAGAAAAACATCTCACCTTCAAGGGCTCTGGTATCATTTTTAAAAACTTCTTGACGGGTTCTGTGTAATAATTTAAAAAGCTTCAAAACCTGTCAATATAACATCAATAGAATTAACTTGTTTGCTAGCAGGATTCTTAGTCAAAATGAACACGTTGCAATTAAGAGTGTTCTGGTTGACCTTTCATGTTCTTTCCATTTTGTACAGAATTTGGTATGGAATTAGTATCTAAGATACTTTATCTCAACTCCTGATCGAATAACTTGCAGCCAAAGCAGATGTGAGGAAATCAAAATCCTAGACAGTTCTAGATGTTTCAAATTAATCCAAGATGCTAGAATGTACTAGCACTACATTCCTAAATAATAATTTGGCATGACAGGAATATAATCCTGAAAATGCATTGACACAAACATATTTATTGTGCCAATATCAAATAAACCCAACAGAATCGGAATAACTCTGAAAGTCAAGTCACCTGAAGGGACTATCAAGGGTGTATCACTGGATAGTCTCAGATTATGAAAAAAGATAGACATATAAATGGCTCAAGTATTCTCACACTTACAAGCCAATGTGAGAGGAGTGAATTTCAAAAGGATCTCAAACTGTGTATTAACTAATTAAAAAATTATTTTTCCTGTCTCTGTATAATACCTGGGCATAACCTCTACAGGTGATGTGGCAAAACCAAAACAAAGCAAAGTCCTTCCCTAAATATAACTGCCAGACTAGCAAATAAAAGCTTCAATAAAAGCAAACACTCAAAAAATTAGGATTTACAACATAGAGCTGACACACCTCAGTATGTACGTAAAGCAAATCCTTTGAGAATCACAGCTCACAGTCACATGGTTTTGACTGTTTATTCATATAGACCATAATGACTTACAGAAATCCTCAAGTCATTATCAAGCTTTTCTGGTGTTTGTCAGAGATTGACAAGAATCTCTGACAAGCACAAGAAAAATATCTTGATAACAAGATACCTTCTGAAGTTATTTCTAGTACTTCCTAGTGTGTTTTGGCATGTCCTAGAAGGCACAATTCCAGGTACTTCATGATAATCCTAAATTGTTTTCTCACAATCAATATTCAAAAAACTTTTAGAAGGATGCAGAGGAAAAAAGGGGCTGTAACTGGGAAATGACCGTCGCCTTTATCAGCATGCTCTGTATCTGTGAGCTGGAGATGCAAACAAGACTGTCCCCTAAAAGTAAAAGGCCAATAAAGACATTCAGGCAGGGCCCCCCAAAAGATGTTGCCTCTGCTTTAAATCTGCTAATGACAGAGAGAGAAACAGCAAGGTTCTCTGAAAGCTATGACTTCCAACAGATGTCAACACATTTTTAGATTTTTCAAGCTAACCTGTCACCCTCCACTCAGGTGGTCACTTGACTACACCTTGAGAAAATTCATCCAGAAGTGTACGCACACAAAAAAGACAGTTTTTAGGAAGAAGACATAAAACAGTAAGAACAGGCAACTTTCCAGTTCAGTACTGCTTCTTTAACATAATACTACCACAGCTTTAGTGCTATTAAGGGACAACTTACAAATACGAACAAATTCAAATCTCGCTTCACCACATGGATTAGATCACATCGTAATTTCTACTGTAACTTATGATTTAGCATCCTGTGGAGTATATGCTACTGCATTACAGATCTTTCTGGAAAGAGGACAGACTAGTACATTCTCGATTGCCAAAGATTCTCACGAATGTTTAAGTAAAAAACTTTTGTCACTTTTACAAGAATTAATACGTGACTTGACAATCAGTTAAATCAATGTGAGAAGAGGCATATAAAGGAGAACATGGACTTTAACTCCTTTTCAGCTTCTGTGTCCTTAATAATTAGCAGCCAAACAGAACCATGTTGCCTTTAATCGCAACATTCCCTAGATGGCTGAACCTGTGAAAAGCAAACTGACAGAATTAAAAGCCAGTAAATAAATTTCTTGTTATGTAGATGTATTTTAAGAGCTTTGACTAAGTTATTTGGACAGGACAACCTGAAATATTCCTACCCCATAGTATTTTTGCCATCTTTGCAAACAGTAAAGTTAGTGTAACCGCTGATTTTGAATCAAAGACATGTATGGTGAAACCTGGAGAAGTGTTTTATGGTTATTCTGAACTCTTTGATCCAACAATTTTCAGGCATCTTCCTCTGCTATTTGGCTATTTCTGCAAAACCCTCTTGGAAAGCTCTTCGCCATGCCAACCACAGAGTAGTTATATTAGGTGACGTTGAAGCAAGATGTATCAATGCACAGACTCCTTTGAGCTCTGCACTTACCTAATGAAACACAGAGCTCCCCTTATAACCTCAGTGCATTAGTACCCCTAATACTAGGCTTCAGAACATTTCTGAAATAGGGGCTCAGTTCCCCCTGGAAGTACTCTATACTGCAAAGATGAAAGGTTCAAATAATTCTTCTGCCTTTGCTCTTCTTCATTTTTCAATCGCAATTCTCTCTCTTGATGTATTTTAACCTCTACTTGACTGCCATCTCTCAACTTGCTTCCTTTTTCCACAACGGCCCTTGCATACAAAACCCTGCTTTCCATCACCTAGTTCTGCGTCCTTTTTGCCCGGACAGCCTGCGGATGCTATAAACGCTAGCAACCGCTAGGACAAAAAGCTCCTACCCTCCAGTAGTGCTATTAAGGGACAACTTACAAATACGAACAAATTCAAATCTCGCTTCACCACATGGATTAGATCACATCGTTACACACAACGCCCTTTCGTGTGTTACACACAAAGAAAAAGCTCCCCTAAGTATGCAATTGGTGTCTAGTTACTATTTACAGCCCAAGGTCGCAAACCTGAAGGGGAACACAGCGCGCTCCTGCGGTGCTTCACGCACTACCACCAGCTCCAGCCACGCTGGCCACCCAGCAGCGCCAGGGGGGACAAAAGCCCACTGCGGCCGGCGCACGGCAGCAACAGCCCGCCAGCGGCAGCCCTCCCCCCGACGCCGGTGGCACCCCGGAGCCCGAGTGACTCCCGGTCTCACGCAGGGCGCAGGCCAAACGGGGAACGACGGGGTCGACACCGCGGGCCGCTGTGAGGCGGCGGAGGGCTTGGGGGGGGGGGGGGGGGGCCCCCCCCCGC